CTGATTTTTCCTTTGCCAATTTGGGTCTTTAATTGTTGATAAAGTTGGGTGTTAATTTTGACACTTAAAACTTGTTTACTTTGCTCTTTTAGAGAATTATTTTCTTTGATTTCCATAATACTATATTTTAATATTACTATAATACCGATTGATTGTTTAAACATATCACAACCAATGTATTTATTTCGCACAAAACAAGGATTACGGAGGTTTTAATAGTTTTCTTTCGTGTTAGTAAAAATAATTATTATGGGCAGAAAGACAAAAACGGATGGACTAAAAAAAATAAGAGAACCAAAAAGTCCTTGTCATGATGAATTAGACAAGAAGCGAGAAAAATATCGTGAATGAATAAAAAACAATCCTCCTCCAATGGATGATAATGGAATAGAAATGAAAGAATGTGAGGGTTGTTACTGCAACTGAACTTATAACTGCCAATTAATAGAGAAATACCTAAAAGTTGAAGAACGAAGAAAAATGGCAGAAGCAATTAAATCTCATGAATGCTAATTCTTTTGCATTGGCTCAATGGATAAAATTATATATTATGGTAAATCAAAGAGCAAAAGCAACTTTAAGTATTACTGTTAACCCTCATTTGTATCAACGGCTGAAAGAAGAAATTGGTAGTCGCAAAATTAGTGGATTTGTGGAAAAGGCTATTGCTAAGGAATTAGGTGAATATGATAATAAATTAGAAAGAGAGCAAAAGGAATTTGAAAAAAAACTAATTGCTGGTTATAAAAGGTCAGCCCGCAGTAAAGCCCTAAAAAAAGAGGATGAAATTTGAGATGAAGTAATCGGAGACGGAATAAAATAAAATGAGTGAAAAAATCCCTAGACAAGGCGAAATCTGACTAGTTGACTTTAACCGAAAAAGGGAAAGAGAACAAAACAAAATCCGTCCAGCTCTAATATTGAGTAATAATTGGCAAAATCAATATAACGACTACACAGTGGTTGCTCCTTTAACTAGTGAAAAAGAAGAGTTGGATTATATTGAACCTTTTGAGGTATTAATTGAAGTTAAT